TGTTTGTTAATAAGTCAATTGAATGAGTTGTGTTTCGTGTTGGCAAGCAGCATTAGCTGTAATTAGAATATAAGAATGAATATTATTGCGATTATTATATGCTTAGGTGATTTTGCAAAGGAATAGGAAACCCAATTGTGGCAGTCCTGTAAATATTAGGCTACGAGTCTTTCATCGTTGCTTGACGCTTGCGATTCTCAATCAGTTAAGGCTTTGACAAGAAAACAGTCAAACGCAAAAGTCTGCTGAGCCGGCGGATTCGAGAGATGCACGCAGCCAGCTCCGTTTATAATTTTTGAAAAACAACTCCTTTTCGCTAAATAATAAACTACTCTGTGAGGTTTTTAAGTTTTTTCTATATAGGAAAATTAATATTTAAACGACTTTTTATAGTGTTCCGATATTGATAAGATTTGGCAGCATATTGAAATAACTCAATTCCAATTCTTTAAATATATAGAAAAAAACCAAAAAACCAAAATGTGTTTTGCATATATAGACATTTCAGTCGGGCTTACGATATAATGGCCAGCTCTCACGACGGAATGACAGACGGACAGATAGACAAGACAAGAATCAAGAATAATTATATCTTTTGCATGATGCGGGGATGTCTAGATCTATCTAAGGGTAAGCTCGCTCTATTCAAAAGGGAAGTGTTTAAATATACCAAGATACAGAATATTCCTTATGTCCTCCAAGGCAGATCTTCTGCATGTCTTTAGGATATCTTCAAAGATATATGAAATATATATATATATATATATACTTTATGAAGTCGGCGATATCTCCTTCGTACACTCCATTTAACGAATCTTTAAAATTGTCATTGAATTGTAATGTGGACTTCTCTCCTCTGAGCCCACAAAGATTTTACATATTGCTTTATAATGGATATACATATATATCTGAGAATCTGATCTGTAATGCGAATAAATAAATTTATGCATATTAATTTATCTTTTGCTTGAATTTGAGGATTCATACTCACAGTAATATATTCCCAATAGCCGAACACAAGATCGTATCTTTTCTTGGAGCTAAATAAGACTTTCGAAAATAAATATATAAACAAATTGTTTGGTGAAATTTCTTGATAGATATTTTTTTAAATTATTTACCAACCCTTTTATGAAATTGCCAACAGTTTGGGTTGTACGTAGTTCTTTGTTTTCTTATTTTTTTGTAATTGTTTTTGTTTTTTTGTTACTAACATCAGCAAGTTTGCGTCCAATACCGGAGATCAAAACTTGTGAAACTGGTATTAAAAGTCACAAGTTAGGGTCTCAGGGAATCAGCCATACAAACATTTGCACATGTCACTAATACCAATGTGTAATATATATATACATATATATAAATATATATATGCGAGTGAAAATTCTCGTGATGCAAACAAATATTAATTGAATCTAATTAAGCACTTGCACACACACGCACACAACACTTTGTATGGCTGGCTTTGGGTTAATGGAGACCGTGTGTGTGTGTGTGTGTGTGTGTGTGTGTAGAGAGGGATGGGGGGGTTGGTTTTCTTTGCGGCTTATTGTCAAGCAAAGAAAGCTAGCACGCTGTATAGTATGCTCTATAAATACTACTATACAACCTACTACCTCAATTTGCCAGAGAGAAAAAGGTCCTTGGTGTAGTCCTTTTTGTCCTTTTAGCTTGCCTGCTGTTTGTTTTTGTCGTACGTTTTCAGGTTTTTCGATTTGTCATGACGTTTCGATCAAATAAATATTTAAGTATTAAACAAAAAAAGAAAATTGAGAGTAAGTGGAAAACGATTAAATAAATTAAAGTTTTTGATAAAAATGTTTTTATGTTTTTTGGTAAGTTTAAGTTTTTCCTCGCCGCGTTTACTCTTTTTAATTTTAATTATTAATAATATATTATTTATAATAAATGATTTTCAGCGCGTAAAAATGGCTTTGAATAAATCTTAAATTGTTTACGAGGTTTTTTTTTTAAATATTTTTAACACTATTTTCACAGAATAGAAATCTTATTAAATGAGTTTTAAAATTGATTTAAAATTATTAACACAAGCAAATTGCAAGCAAGATGATTTAATTGTTAAATTATTATGTCATTATAAACAAATACCGTTTTATTATTATTTAATTAATTGCTTAATTAAAATGTGTTAACACGTACATTTTACTAATATTCCTTTTATATGCTTTTTATTTATTAATATTTATTTTTATTAAATTAAGTAATTTAGGTATTTAGTTCTTTTTAGCTGTTTAATTAGTCAACTTTTTACGGTCATATAACGCTTTATTTATTTATTTCTTAATTTTTATTATTAATGTTATTTATTTATTATTATTTACAAGCGCGCTTTGTTGAATAATAAAAATACTAACAATTATCAATTAATTTTTTTAAAAATATTATTTGCCGCAAAATAATTCTTAAATTTCATTTAATTTATTTACTGTATGTTATTTTTATATTATTTATTATTTATTGACTCTGCACTTTTTAATTTTTTAAATATTTTAAATAATTTTCATATTGTCGCGCAAAATTTATCAATGACTTTTTATTGCTTGTTAAAATTATTCACTTTTAATTGGCTGAATTATATTATTTTGAGTTTATTTTGATATTGTTTATATATTTATGTTGAAGTAATATTTAGTTTTTATTTTTTAAATTTATGTATTATTTTTTCGTATTTATGCTAGCGACATTTTTATTAATAATTAATATTATTATTTAATTTGCTTAATCTTTTATTTAAAAGCTGTTTGAATATTTAATTTAAGAAAATTAAATTCGTAATCTGACAATCGAAAATTGATATACAAATTGTTGTGTTATTTAAATAATAATATTAATATGATATTGTGCATTGTTTAGCTGCGATTGATAATGTTAAAATTATCTAATTATTGACAATGTTATTTATGTTGTTAAATTGTTGAAATTTTGTCGTTTGTCGCTGTGCTCTGATTTATTGCTTGATATCGAATTTGTTGATCATTTTTGTCATTTTTGTTAATATATTTTATATGTCTTTTGTTGCCAAAAACCAGTTGTTTGCATTGACAGACTCCCATAATGCCGGTCTTGTAACAGATATAAAACAGCACAAGTTCGGATTTACGGGTTTCTGTTAATGGTCCATATTTGAGTATGCACCATTTCTCGATTCCGGATAACGATTTGTAATTTGCAATTGTTGTTCAATAATATCCGCTGTCTGCCAAAGCTGTAAAGAAACAAAATATTTTATTAATGTTTATGAAAATTATGTGAAAAGTTAAATCTATATTTATTTATGTGTGTTTTTTTTTTACTGCGCGCATTCGATAAATATCCTTTGTCCAAGTGTTGCCTCGCATTGTTCAGCTGTAAATAGAATAGAAGAGCAAGTTTTTTATTTTATTATTTAGCATTTACATTTGATTTTTGTTTTTGTTTTTGTTTTGGTTTCATTTAATTTGACTTTATTTTAATATTTGTCTGCGTGTTTACCAAAGCTTATCCTCGAAAGATTTCGGTCTGCTGGCCACGTAAGCCGCTTGCGTGTTGCAAGCTGCAATTCAATTTGCAACAAAGAGACTGCATTATGCAAAAAAGCCAAAAAACAAAAAAAAAAACACGCTAAAATCTGGCGTGAAAAACACACACACACACACACTAGTCGCAAACTAACGGCCAAAAGTGTAGCTCTTATGGCCAGATAAAGCTTTATAGCTATATAGCCCTATAGCTTTATAGCTATATATTAGCTGTATATATACATATATATGTGTGTGTGTGTGTGTGTGGGTATTTGTTAGCTTTAGTTTAGCTGCTTTTGGGCAACTTGGCGTTGCGCTTCCTGAACGGCAAATGCCTCGTAACAACAAAAAACTGAAACTGAAATGCGACTGAGCGTTGGCAGCGTCTGCTTGCAGCGACTGCGCTGCTGCAGCTGAGCGTATGTGTGTGTGTGTGTGTGTGTGCGTGTGTGTGTGTCGCTGTATCTATCGTGTGTTTTGGCTATATGTTGCTCATGTTTGTTGTGCCTGCTGTTTCTGGCTGTTCTTATTGTTGTTTCTGTTGCTGTTGTTGCATACATATGTACAGCAGCGAGACGCTGCCAAAATGCTGCTGTGTCTTCACCCATTGGCCTGCCACATGGATTCTTTGGTGGTAGCAGCAACAGCAGCAGCACACACACACACACACACACACATGCATACAAGGGTCGCGCTCTGTCTGCGCGCAGTTCGTTGGCTGTACCTATTTTAGCCAGGACCTGCCTCAACATATTCACACAGCCAACAACGACAACAACAGCAGCAGCAGCAGCAGCAGCAGCAGCAGCAGCAGCAGCAGCGACGTCGCGACGTCACACACACACACACACATGTGCGCCAGCTCGTTTCCTTCCTACTTATGCTGCGGCGCTGACGTCGCGCAAAAAACCGGTAACAGCACCGGCTACAGCGAGAGCTTTGCGCGCCGTCATTGCCCCTGCGGCCGCTAAAGCTCTCTCGCTCTCTCTCTCTCTCGCGCTCTCGCTCTCTTCAGCACGCGCTCTCTTATGTGAAAACGTCTGCTCTTAGCGCACATTTGTTTACTTTTTGTTTTGTTTTTGTTTTCCGGCCTCATTAGGCATACTCTTTTGCTTGTTTCAAGCATGCACTCTAAGAAAAACTATTGAGTTTTGTAAGCTGCAATTATTGGGGGATTAGTGTAGCTTTCGAGAGGCAGATGAAGCAGAAGAAGAAAAATAATAAGCATATTAAGCATACGTCAAGTGAGCCGCCGCACATCATTATCTTTAACTGGCGTCTGCTTGTTGGCGTTTCATTTATTTTTTTTTCGTTGGCCATTTGCATTTTCCACTTGTGCAAATAATATTGAATTTCACTTATTTGCACATTAATCAACCATTTTCATTCGACTGGGCGCAATCATGTGGAAATGTTTGCATGGAAAATGCATTCGCCGTCTATTAATTTTCATTTTTAATGTTGGCCGTGTGTGTGTGTGTG